CCGAGCCCCGGTGCGCGGGTCGCACGCCTGCAGCGCCCACGAGCAGCGCCACGCCGGGGCCCTGCATGCGCCTCCCTCCGACCGCCGGCGCCTCGGCGGGCGGGTCTCGCCCCAAACCCCGCCCCGGCGGCGTGCTGCTGTCTCCCTGGAAACCATTCCCCCAGCACAATCCTCTCAGGCCAGGGTTCGGAGCACCGCCCGGGCAGTGGCGCGAGGCACCCCTCAGTCTTCGAATGGTAGCAGGATGCCGGCCGCAGAGCAGGACCCCCTGGGTGTTTATCGGGCGCTCCCCGTGTACAGCGCCCCTGGGACCCGGTGCTGACAAGTGGCCCAGAGTAAGTTCAGGGGAAGCAAGTTAAGGAATAAAATAGCTGCTGGTGTAACGAAGAACGAGTGAAGCCGGGAAAGGGCGCACACTCGCTAGTGTACGAGGTAAAAATATTTTTAATTGCTCTATAATTTTATTAGCCACTCTAATACGCCCTTATTTCTCAGGCTCAGTTCAACCAACTAGCGAGCAAGGACAGGCGTGTTACGGCCGGGTATGTAGTTTAGCAGCGTAAGCGCCAGCCTGGTAAGCGTAAGGTCCTGAGTTTCAAACAACCTGCCCTAAATCCTGGGAAGCCAAGAAGCTAAAAGAAACTACAAAGAGAAATACAGAGGAAGGAGGGGACAACAGGTGTGGTGTGAGATAGATCACTTGGGATAGACTGTGAACCCCAGATCCAGGACATGGAAGATGGAGGACTCCTGCGAGTTTGGAATAAAACATACAACTTCCCAACATGAGTGTTCCTGTCTGTATAGATAGCAGTCTTGCAAGAGTTTAAGTTAAAAGCCTCCCTCTCATTGCCCCTCAGTCCAGTTTCCTTTTATGGCCCAGAAATAAATTCATTTTGGCTGGGTGTCATGGTGCATTCCTGTAATCCCAGCACTGGGGAGGCTTGAGGAAGGAGGATCGCTGGGAGATCGAGACCAGCCTGGGGGCTCCAAAACTGAGCACAAGGCCAGATAGAACTGTATAGCAAGACCCTGTCTCCATAATTTTGTTTTTAATTACAAGATTAAAAAAAGCTCTAAGACCAGGAAGATAGCTCAGTAGAATAAGTGCTTGCCTGGCAAACGCAAGGGCCTGAATTCAAAAAAATAAAATAAAATAAATACTTAGGGCCAGGGGGATAGTTCAGTGGAGTAAGTGCTTGCCTAGCAAGTGCAAACTCCTGAGTTCAATCCCTGGTACCACCAAAAAAATAATAATAGTAATAATAATTAAAAAATATTTTTATATATATGTAAAGCTCTAAAATGTCAATTTGCTTCAAAACTCAACAGTACAGCACTGGAAACCAGCTAAACTCCAACCACTCGTGAACACTTTTGTTTATAGAGATAGTTCAGGCTGGTCTTGAACTCAAGTGATCCTTTTGCCTCAGCCTCTCAGAACTGGGATTATAGGGGTGTGCCCCCATGTCTGCCAACATTTTGTTTTCAGTATTGGGGATTGAACCCAGGGAGTTCTGAGCTATTATCCCCATCCCTTTGAGACAGGGTCTGACTTAATTGCCCGGGCTGGTCTTAAACTTTTGATCCTCTTGCCGCAGCCTCTCAAGAAGCTGAGATTACAGGTGCAACCCCATGCCTGTTTAAACACTATTCATAACATCCTGTTATCACTTACAGATTGCCTCTTGGTCATGTGGTTATGGCAAAGCCAGCATTAGAGGCAAACTCTAGCACTATCCACAAGCAGAATCCAGGGCAGACATTATTTGAGAGCCCAGCTTGGTTAGTCACTGAGGATATATGTGCTCTTCAGGGAAGGTGGGGCCTCAGTTGCCTGTGCACCTGACCCAGGATCTGTTTGTCCACCTCCCACAGGGCTGGTGACTATGCCCCCAGGAAAGTAGCTTTAAACCATCATCTCGGGCTGGAGAGATGGCTCAGTGGTCTAAGGCACCTACTTAGAACAAGCTTGGCAAAGCATCAGCGACCACGGTTCAATCCCCCAGCACCACATGCCAGCCAGCCCC